GGGTCAGTGAGACGACAAAATTTAATTTAGTGTAAAAATAAGAATCGATTACTGCCGCAGTATCTCGGATCATATCTATGAGGTTACTTATTGGGAAAATTTGATCTTTAGGTACAATGATATGTAACCACTTGACGAGTCTTTCGACTGTGACTCATTGAACAATATCCATAATAATTGAATACATTTTAAGTAACACAGAAACAAATAAGTCATAAATGTGTCGGCGCGGTGTCTCTGTAGAAGAGATCGCGATACGTTCTATGCAGTAAACACAGCGCCGTTTGACGACAGCCGACCATTGAATGTTCACTTCATAAAACGTCAACTACACAGAGATAATAAAGATAATGAATTGACTCGACTCCGCTGGACTCTTACTGCTCACATACACACTTTTACTGCTCTCGTAAAATAAAACTGCCCTTTAAAATAACAATATAAATGTGTAGTGAATTTAATTTTAATGACGCGTAAATTATTGGCCGCGGCGTTTACTAAGATTACTCTTATAATGACTACGTAAGGGAGGCGCTGTGACCACTGTTATCGTCTCCGGGATTTCTAATAAATAATGCTATTATGAATGGCAAGAAACATTAAGTTAGTGTCACGATGTGATAACACGAAATGTTTATTTATTGCGCACTTAAAAGAAGATTGTTTCTCGTGTACTACACTTTTACTTGCTCTCTCTGACACGATAAAGAACATGAAATATTAATAGGCAGTGTCTTAAGTAAGAGAGGTCACACAATATACACGGTCTGTATTGGGTCAAACAAAATACCTTAACTTATTTTATAAATAACAACATGTGTACATATATATATTACAAGTAATGATTTTTTTATTTAAAAACGGACGAGCGGTTGACGTGGTTAAAATCTTAGGGTTTTGTATTCATTTAATACTTCAACAAACTGTGTATGGAGCCGTTTGTTTTTATAATGATAGTTCTTATTATAAATGAAAACTTAATCGATGACAATCAACAAAAACACAACAGTGAACTCACAGTGAACCGCGTGCTGTTGAAGAACACTGACAACAGCCTTACGTCAACAATTTGACTTATGTTAATCTACATAATCTTTATTTTAAATTGCTTAAAGCTTTGCAATAACAAGAGTCAAGGGAAATGAAGAGAGGGAGTATCGTGTTAAAATGAGATTAATACAGGTTTGGAAGAAATCAATCTAAAGGAAAGCTCCATAAAAAAAGTTAGAGTAAAGAAATTTTAATATTATAATAGAAATAAGTTCTTGAAACATTCTATTCTAGATGTGACTAGGTAAGTTCATACTTATCATACATATGAGCAATTAAAAAATTTTTTTCGATCTTTACCAACTACTTCTTGGTTATTTTTGGTAGTTCCGGAGTGAGTCTTGTATAAGACGGACACAGAAACAGCTTTAATCACACTGGTATCTATTTTGGCAGTAATGTACCAGAAAACATAATCAAATTTGTGATCTCAATTCAACACATGATTTATGACATGATATGATAAATTAGATTCACTGTTCAGTAGTAAGGGCCCTCGGGCCCTCGGCTTAATTCCCTTCGTCTTCACTTGGACCTTGCAATTTTTCTCCCTGAATTATGTATCGGATGATCCTCAGAAGCAGGCTACCTTGCAGCTTGTTTGACATATTCAAAACTAGAAACTAAATCCTGTTCTACGCGTCAGAAGTATACAATGTAGGAATAATTAAAATTCTTTACAAATACATATGTACTGTTATTGTTAAGCTCTTTGAAATATATTTTAAAATATACACAATATATATCTTCAGTTTTAATAGCGCCGAGTGGGCTTTTAATTTTAGTTTATTGATATTTTTTAAATTGGAAAATATGAATTAGACTTGATAGAAAGTTCTGATATAAAGTTCTCGCGTTAACAAAACTTACAAATAGTCAAAGCAAGTCGTTTTCTTAAAGTTGTCTCCATTAGATATGCCATCGCGGACGTAAATACAGCTGTCTGAATCGTGACCATTAATATTATCAGTTCCCAGGTTGTCACTTTGTGTACATCAAACTCAGCTAATAGTGTCTTCAGCTAGGAGACAATGCTTGTTTGTTTGTTCGTCACGTCCGATACGAGGAACGAACGAGGTCAATTATGTAAAATGTTGAGAAAACAAACTTATTATTTCCGACCTCCTGTTATAACTTACTAAAGACAGGCTTGTGTTTGATTATAACAAACAAAAACAAAAGATAATAAAAGTTACTTATGTATTTCATAAACTGACAAAAATATGCTTCTTTATATTTGATCATGGGTCATAAGTTATTCCCATAAGCCCAGTTCTTTAAATATTTAAACTCAACATCGTCATGTACTCGTAGTAACCCCTCGTTCACTGATCCTGCTCACATCTCCGCGAGTAGTTCTCCAATCGTTATCCTCGTTACCTTGTAATTGGTTCTATTAGAGTCTCTACCGTATTTAGTACGACCGCTCCATGGCATCTTTCTTATTATATTATACAACTCCAAAGCCGTCTCAATATTCCGCCGCAGGCACCGCCCTCGACCCCATCTTTGTTGATTAAAAACTAACTAAGCGAAGAGACACTCGCGTCAAGCTGGTCCTGTTCGTCTAGACATTATATAAATACTATGTAACTTTATTCACGGCCTAAACAAATTTCAAATCATTGTATTTGAATATACAGTCATCAGATTCATCATAAATTATATGTTTATCTTTACTATCAAAGTATAAGGAATTATATCAATGTTTGTAGCTCAGATATCTCAAAAGTATTTTTTCTTCTTATTGTGGGGAGAGATTCATAAATATAAAAAATCCAATCAATCTTTATAACTATAAAACTAAATCACGAGATGTGTTGGATCCAATTATTTACTTTACAATTAATATAGATAGATGAAAATGCAAGCCATGTGTTCCTTAATTATGGAAATATTCGTAAGAGCCAAATACTTAAATGAAACATTCCGTTAATTAAGAATCATTGTTATTAATCGAGTTATCAGGCAAGCAGGAATTATTTCATTATCATCCATAACATGAAATCAATTAGAAAGGTGTGTCGACAAAAGTAAAGTATAGATGACTGTACTGAAACTAGATTCCGAGGGTGATGGGGGGGGGGGAGGGGGCTGCTCCAAATGTAAATGTATGAATCAGAAACCGATGACAGTGAAAGTAGGCTGTATCTACGATGTTAGTTAAAAATATTATTTGTGGAAACTCTTTAGTTGTAGTCTAGTTTAAGAACACTGACTGTAATCCATCTATATGGTTCAGAGTGAACGTCGTCTTTCACGGACAGGAGAAGCAACGAGTCATATGACCTAACAGGTAAAGTACGATATAAGACCGCTTACTGACTGACTAAGACAAACCTGGTGACACCTGGCCCCATCTCCACGCTGCTTCATATTTAGGGTAATACTACTAGTCCCTACCTTTTTCAGTGTCCAGAAATAAGAAATATCATTTTAAGGCCTTTTGACAAACGTGAAAACAAAAGTATTTTTTACGTTTCACATCGTTCCATCATCGATTTGATAATGTATGTATCTATGTGATAGTGGTCACCGGTGGCCGGTGGCACCTCCCCTCACATTAGATGACGAAGTGTCATGACTGAGCAAAACACACTGCTACTAACGAACATACACCCGTTCGATATCTGTCACTCATATTTGATTATTTGCGTATCTTTAGAAATACTATACATACATGTAGGCATGTGTTTACCATTTTAATCCGTTTTATATGTACCATGTAATTGTTATTTCAATGAGCCATTCACATAGCTTATCTCAGATATACATTAACGAGGTACTGATAGGTGACTTCTGTTCGTAGAAAAATTATTGTATGATACTCGAAGATGTTACCTAGAATGGGATCGGTCTTTGCACTATAGTATATTTTAACATCAAAATTATATCAGCTGTGTGTCGTGGACGTGTCGCAGTTGTTATGTCACAGACATCATAATAAAAGGACACCCATACAACAGTACAGTAAGAGCTGTCTCTGACACTCATAATTATTGTAATGATTCGCATCACTTGCTTGATGTGTCTTAATATGAACACACTTGTAAGTACAGAAGTATATCAATTACATTATCACATATAGTCTCACACATATCACACTGTAACAAGTTATTAGTTTACTTCCACACTTATGTGAAATGTCCTCGTTTTCAAAATAATACATTTACATTCTTGAAACATCTTGTGCGGTTGATGAAATTTTAATTATTGCAAACAGTATATTAATATATCGATTGATATAAATGTATTATTTCAAAAATGTTTTTCGTATCTAGACACTGCGTTACACACTCTTTAAAAATATAAGTCTAATATTAATGGGTATACCTACATTGCTACTTGTTATATATAGATTGTTGTGTGTATATATTTTATAAAATCTGCTTTTCCCAATGTTAACGAAGAGACTCTAGTTAATTATGGAAATAAAAGTATATATAAAGTTTTGATCGCATGCGCGAGTGTTCACTAACTTACTAATGAGAACAGTTCTGCTCGTTCTGCCCTACCTCCTACCTCCTACTAGTACCTTCAGAATACTTAAATATTATTTACCTTTACAAAACTCAATTCCTCAGTGAACCCGTCTGTGTTGTTGTCAATATTTACTGTTTTAACTTCATTACTTTAACATTGTTTGGTTCATTATAATAACACCGACTTCTGTACATACTAAAATGATGGAAAGAAATTATTTGAGGGTTTAATAAATTAAGTTATAATATTCAAATTTCTAGCAAGACTATGAACGAATCAGGAAACTATAAGATATCAAATCTACTGCTGTAAACATATTTTAAAACCAACCTTGTAATAAATTGAAGAAGAAAAAGACTATTCCAACCGAATGCCCCTTCTATATACTCTTATGTATCTTTAGTTTTAAATTATACCAGGCGGGTGTTGATTTGTTCCATCATTTATTTATTATAACCATGTTCCTGTTATCTTAACCAGAGCCTCTCTCCGGAGACCAGCGTCTGTAATCCGTTCTGCTTTATGTTTGATCGTCTCTCCAGAGACCTCATCGGTCCGGGCCGAGCGTGCGTAAGTGATAACACTCGTGATATGCCATACAACTATATATTTTTTATATATATATTAATATATATATACATATAATTCCATCATTATTACTTAAGGTATCATAAACATCATTTTATAACCATCTTTGCGTATTTTATAAAGCCACAACTCATGTTCCGAAGTCATTTGTCGTCATATCCGTTACATAATTCACAGAATATTACTCAAATGTTTCCTACATTAAATTCTTGAACAGTGTCACGTCATATATCTTCGTATTACTAAAACAAAAATATGTTCCATATTCTCGATTTCCACCGTCATAAATCTAGCCGACAGCGCCCATCTGTGTCTAATTATTCGTCTCCGGTCTCGCAAGTGTCGAGACACTGTTTCCGAGCTAAAGATGCATGTATCCTAAGTTTACAAGTGTCGCTAGACAAGTGTCGCAAAATGTACATACTATACTGTACTGTGATGCACTCTAACTGTAAATTCGAGATATCTAATATATAAAATTCTCGTGTCACAGTTTTCGTGCCCATACTCCTCCGAAACAACCTGACCGATTTTGATGAAATTTTTTGTGCTTATTCGGTAGCTATGAGAATCGGCCAACATCTATTTTTCATCCCCCTAAATGTTAGGGGTAGTCCACCCCTAAATTTTTTTTTTTTATTTTTTAGACAAAATTTTTAATTACTATTTTTTTATGATACAACGTACAAAAATACATACAATCCTAAATTTTCACCCTTCTACGATCAACCCTTATTTTTTAATAGCTATTTTAGTAATTTAATCATTTTTCATCTCCGGTCGATAACTGATCAATCGTCATTTAATAAGTTATCCCCGCCAGATATCTACAGGTGTCACTTCTGACCCAGTAAACAGCACGGAGTAGGGATGAGAACGAAGCCGGTCTTCTGTTTCTCTCACACAATTAGACTTCTCTCACTCCCTACACAGTTGTCGGCCATCGTTATTGTTTGTGCATCAAGTGTAGTAGTAACGTTGACAATTATTATTTTGCTAGCTCAGTGTAACTCTCATATTAACTATTAATCATTCCTAATCACTTCAAAACACGGAGATTTATGGCTTTAATAGGTAAACTCCAAAAATATAAATAAAAAAACGTAACAGATATTTCTTGATTATAGGGCGAAACGAAGTTCGCCGGGTCTTCTAGTTTAAATATAAATTTATGTAAATTTCATTTTTATTGTTTTAAATTGGATCCTATATTTTAACAAATATTTTAATATAATATCTACCTACCTTAATAAACTAACTGACTATCATTAAACAAAGGACCGCTGTCGGAAGCGTCGTGTGTGAGAAGTCTGCCTCTCCCGATGTTACGATTATTGTAATGACGGTGACACCAACAGTTCGTCCGTTTGTGCAACAACTTATATTAAGGAAGTGTTTATAATATGCACAATATAACACCTTTATATAAGTACCGGAGACTTCAGTAGAAAAGATGTTATCCATAAAGTTACTGATTGATAGTTTTTTAATTATTATTATCACTTAACTGTTACAGTGGTTATAATTATGAATATGTATAAACTTTTAAGTATACAATTATGATGTTTTTTTGAATCAAAGGTACCATTTCAATCTTTTCTTAAAATTTATCTCCTAGATCAAATACCAATTTAAACTGCTATAAGTGTATTTTTGTATTATATATTCGGTTCTAGTACATTATTCGTCATTAATCTTACAACATGATATTCGCTCAACAGTAATTTGTCAATGGACTGTCGTTAAGTAGCTGGTGTGTGAAGACTGAGATCAGATCTGGTTGTGATGAAGGAAGGGAGCGCTACAAGACACATTTAATGCAATAAATAATTTGCTTGGCTTCGATTTATATAAAACACGTCGAATGTACGCTCGCGAGCTGCTTCTTTAGAGCAAACTGTTCAAATATAAACTCGTTTTTTTATCATCAACCTCGTGTACTTCGCTATTAAGATGTTCGTACTGTAACTTAAGAACATTTGTAAGTCTGAGACATTATAACAACATTGTTAATAAAATACTTCAAATCTCTATAGTATGATTCATATTTCTTCATCGATTTACTTAATACTCATAACGTCAAAACATTACTTGTTGAACTTACATTTACATGTGATTAAGCTTATACATATTATCAGTTTAGAATTACCACAGAAGTTAGTCAAAGTCAGACAAAACTGTTCATAAAACATAAAATATTATTGTACGTATGACAGATGATATTGTTTCATCTTTGATAACATCGCAGCAGACTATTCGTTCGTTCTGTGATAATTTCAATAAACTTGCATATATTTGTGTCCGAAATTAACAAAAATAAATCATTCAATTAAAAATAGACGAATGTTGTACGAAATATACCATCTTTAGGAGCGGTAAAGTTAAAGAGACAATTCATTTAAACAAAACTTATATTTTCGTATTACTAAGCATATTTTTTTTTAAACTTCATACTCTAAATGTGTCAGTTACTTTACATGACGAACAGACGAGGCGAAAATTTCTGAGACATTCAATTTTTGACGTTTAGTAATCCGAAAATATTGGTTTCATTTAAATAATATAGCAATAAATCGTATCATTAATATATATAATATTAAGTAATAAACTATAATATTATTCATATACATTTAATATCTCATTGTTCCCGGTCAAGATGTAATCTATACCTCCTCTCGTCCTCGTTACACTCAAACGATATATCGATGTTCTTAATCGACAAAATAAATAATGGAGTGTTTGGATGAAATAAGAAGTTGTCGGCTTCCTGTGGATGTTATTCGCAAACTGATTTATTATTTCCATTCTCCATATCAATGTTGTAACGCTGCTGACTCGTCTCTCATGCGCCATGCTTTATGCTCCGTCTGACAGCTTTCTGATTGGGAAAGCCTTTTATGATTATTGCTTATACGACTTTTATTACCATCTGTATTAACAAAAATATAAACCGCGTTGATGTTATGGAATTCAATCTGTTCAGTATTAACATGGGATTTCATATAACGCGGAATATTGTATGAGACGACTGTTAATGACATTACTAACGTTCCAGGAATGAAGTGACTTTTGAATTTGATTAACAATTTAAAGCACAGTTTGTCACTTGGCGACCGAATGAAAAAAAGGCGATACTGTAATAAGCTTGTTATGTTTTTTTTTTTTTCATGAAATCGTTTCATAGTTCCATCCGAAACCGTTCAAGACATGTTGTATTTTAATTAAAAATTAAATATTTTTCGTTTCTTCTTGATTTCTGTTTATTAAAGTACGATATAAATGATATATTTTAATAATTTTTGGTCACGCTAAACCTACGTATAAACTTTCGATCATTTAGTTGACAGGAACGTGGTCTTCACCTCCGACAAATATTAAAAAAAAAACCAATGATTAAGTATTGAAAATCATTAAACTTATAAAATAATTTCAACGTAATGATCCTGTTGACTAGAATCAATAAATGACCGTCGAGTTCTGTCCAGGAGAGAGAATCTGTTAGCCGTCGGTAGTAAGAAACGTTGCAATCATTGGCAAATAAATGTGTTGTAATTGTATAATAAATATAACATTAAGTCCTGCGGCATGATGAGTGACGATAATAAATAATAATACTGGATAAAAAGTAGTGTTTCATTATAAAACAATACACTGCACAAGAGTTCTTATCACTAGGATCGCACAGTGTGTGTGTGCGTGTGTGTGTGTGTGTGTGTCCACGTGGGCGACGGTCCCCATGATCTTCCATTCCGTCTATCCGGTATCAATCGTTGACCTTCTAAAGTTCTTTGAAGTCCGATGCTTCGATAACGTTATCAAATTAAATTGAATGAACATCGAGGGTGGTCCCATTTCTCTTGTTTGTAAATTCATTAAGACTTCGCTCTGTATAGGACCGGGGAAGATGGTCTCACATGTTACTGGAATTAATTTATTGAATGTCGAGTTTATGGAGAATAATTCAATAACTATAATGAAATAATATTATTTCACTACTGGTGAGACAAATGATATGGGAAGTTTTGCGGTGAATAAATATGTTACAATAATATCATATGTATGAGACTTAAAGAAGTAGCGTACCAGCACGAACTCTGGATGTAAGTGGGCTGTCTCATGAAGAACACGTACAGGAGGAGACAAGGGAACATAGTGAGGGGAGGGAGGGGGGGTAGTGGCGTCTACCACGACGAATACACGGAGCCAAACTAAACGAGTCTGAACTAACGTACAAAATGATTATATTAATTCAGTAGTAAAAAGAGTTAACATGATTTGAAACAACGACACCAAATAAATAAAATGTTAGCCTTTGTAAACATATCGCTCCTTTAAAATAACATTCTTACGATTTTGTTAATTAAATTATTTTAGTGATTTATACTTTTCCTGATTCTCAAAACACGGGACACTTCCTCACTTAAGGGGAAAACCAAATCATTGCGTTAGTCATGTAATAATACAAAAATATGACTTTATTAATATTAAAGTACCGTTTTATAGAGAAATATATAGCGTCTATAATTTATATTATGCTATTTTACTTATTTATATTGATAAAAAAGTCCTTACAGAGAAGTTATTACATAATACGACCGTAATGATTCGCTAAACATCTCGTAGTGTTTATCATAAAAGAGCAAGCTAATGATAGTTAATTCGGTACATTCCTGGCTTTCTCGTAAGTAATTTATTTTCTCGTTGGTTTTTCATTGTTTTGGTTATGTATTTGTATTTATATAAAAATATTTAAAATATAAAAGAAACTAAGTAGGTATATTTTGGCCTTCAGAGACTTAAATAAATCTTATACCAATAAATAGAGTCTACAAGATACATTTAATTGCTGTATAGTAAATGAAGGTGACATTTTTGTTTCAAGACAGTTATAAACCGTACAAGGCGCCGAGTATAAACAATTCCTTTGATTGATCGGCCGCCTCACCGAAGCCATATAAAGTGAGTTTTTTCTCGATCCTGTCAATCTTAAAGTCACCTTTTACGGACCGCTCTGTACCTTCTGTGAGCTCCTCATTATAACAACCTTTCATGAACTTCTATATAAGTTCTGCAATTGTTTTAAAACTTACTTATTCCTTTGAATTTAAATGTAAAAAGAACATATGTTATAATAATATAGAAGCAGTGTTATATGAGAATAAAAAATAATATAGTAAATTACTCTATAAGTTTAAGTCATAATTAAGTAGGTATATTAAATTTGATTGATCCCTACGTGACATAATATGTCTCTGCTAATTATGATCTTTTCGTTCATGTCGATAATTTTCCCAATATCATTAGTTATTTTAAATTATGGATTTTGTATGTGAAACGTTCGTGGAGTCAAACAACACCCGATATAGTATCACGTAATTACGAGTCATTAGTACGTCGATGGAAACACTCACAAAAATAATTATTTACATTTACACGATGATTTCCAATAATTATTACAATGGGCAATTATGTAAATAATTTAAGGTTTTATTATTTAAAGTTTTATTATTCGATTAAGTCAGTGGTGGCCTAGTGGTTAAAGGGTCCGCCTCTCGTTGCCGAGGGCGCGGGTTCAAACTTGGCAAGTACCAATGTGATTTTTCGGAGTCGTATGTACTTTCTGAGAGTAATTTAGACACCACTGACATACGGCGAAGGAAAACATCGTGAGGAAACCTGGACTTATAGTTTCACAATTATAAGTATGAAAACACCAACCCTTCTTGAGCAGGCGTGGTGATTAATGCTCAAACCTTCTCCATCTGAGAAAGAGGCCTTTGCTCAGCAGTGGGCTCTGATAGGTTGATGACGATTATTCGATGTAACAAACGCACGAGCGTGTCACAGACACGTTAGAGTCATGTTTAGAGGACCTATTTAAAATTGAAGCTGACTTAGCACTTGTTGGAATTAACTTAGATTTAGAAAAACGTTTTTTTTAATTTATGTAGGTATAGACTTTGACATCACATTTGGACCATCACCTCAAAAGATTATCGCAGAAAATGAAAGTGAATCATAATATTGAGAAACTTTAAACCCTCCGAGGTGGCGCGGCGGAGTGGATCTGCTAAATCTATTACAATATTATCGACTCAAAGCTTGTTTATAAGGATTTACTTCGAGACGGATTTAGAGTAAGTCGATGAGGTTTTCCGCGAGCGCCGCTTCAACCATTTGTTATCATTGTTTGTACTTTAACATCTTTTGTGGATTTTGAACGAATTAATGTGTTTCACAACGCTAACTGAAAAATGTTAAATCCTGTCTCCCCACTTAAAAGGCTAATAAGAGTATTATTTTTAAATCGACGTTTGTTGATGTCCACTTTTAGAACTTTAGTATAAAAATATTTATTAATCATAAAAATAGGTCTTGTTTATTTTACTAAAAATAAATGGTCCTTTCAAATACACTTTAAGATTCTAAACTCTGGGTGTAGGAACCATCGGGAATCAAATGTTGACAAGTTAGAGAAACAGAAAGATACCGAGCTTATTATAATGTGGTAAGGTTCAAAGTTGTAGTATATCAGTTCCAAGCTAAGCGAGGCACTTAAAGGTGTTTGCTGGTTTTCTGCATACATTTGCATTCGCGGATGATATGGCAGGGAGGATTCCAACTTAATTTAGGAGATTTACTTTAAACTTCGCCACCGGTAAGGCTTTTGTCTGAGAACTTTATGAAGGGATATTATTACGATTGTAGGGATTATTATTAGAGATAGTTCCCGTGGAAACACTGTCCCGAATAAACATGAACTTAAATAATCTGTTCTGTTAACGATGAAAATGTATTAATTCGGAGGTTAATCTTTTAACTAAGCCTATCTTAATAGCCTCAGGTTATGTGAGGGTTTAACTTCTTAATGACTGGTTACTTGGATAAAGAAAACAATTATTACGAAAATTATTGAGTGAAGAAGGAAAATGCTATATTCATAAACAAAAGTACACATCCATACATAAATAATAAAACCCATGGAGCTGATAGGTGGCAGGTATTGAGACTAATTCTTAATTGCTTTGTAAGGACAAAGGCAGTCGAGCAAACGCAAGTTCCACTTATGCGACGTCCCTTTGTGGTGTGAGAAAAATGTAAAACGCGGGAAAGTGGTGGCTAAACAGAATTATCTGCCGATACAGTAGGAACTGGAGGGGTGTGCTGGATGCGAGCGTTTGAGGGGTGCAAGGGGGTACAAGGGGAGCGAGGGGTGCGGGGGGTGCAAATAACGTGAGGGGTGCGTGTGGTGGGAGATGGTATTTACTTGAAATCAGGCGCGCAAGGGATCGGTCGACGGGGGGTAAACGCTTTTTGCAATTTTATATATTACGTGTAATCGTGCCCGCGTGGAATGTGTTAGCGGGGTGTCCTGGATTGATAGAGAAAATAACGAAAAACAGAGTTACAGAAACAAAATACAACCAAATATTGGTGACTACTGTTACTTCACGAAATATATGTAGTATTCCTTAAAATATGTCGCAGAAATTAAAAATAATGTTATACTGTACTTCGGTTATTTATCGAGTAAAGAATTTATAGTTCAAAACGAAATGATATTTTATAAGGTGTATCCAATCGTGTAAACTCAATTACTTATAGTGCCTACGTATAAGACTTGACGAGCCTCGCCCTCCCTCAGTGGTGCGTCAAATTTGGTCGCGTTTACCTTTAATAGTTAGGGAAACCTTAGAAAAGAAATAATGCGATATCATTAAATATTAATACTCAATATTCATAAATATGGAATATTACAATATAAATAATGTGAATGGTCGAAACTAGTTTTACTTAAATGAGCTTAGAAGATAACAACAAACAAAGAATTGTTTGTTAAACTTTATCATAACACTAAAGGAAGAGATTTTAACGAAAATATTATCATTGATGCTTTGAGTATCTACTTTTGTATGAACTGTGCCATTTGCCTTGGGACTTTTACGGCGTCGCCGGAAGAGATTTTAATAATATTAAGCAATGTCGTATGAAGCTCTAGATTTGTTTCAAATATATTAATGATAAAATTACTTGAACATGCGGCGTGTGGAGACTCTAGTACTGGTTGGCTCATTTTTAATTATATTTTGTTTTATTCACTTACCTTACTTGTATTCAACGCATATAGTGATATCTACGTCAGAGAACGTCTTACTTCTTTCTGACTTGTCGCTGATAATTTTTAACAAATGAAACTAATATTTTTCCGATTATAACAAATATTACATACAGACATTCACATCTCGACTGCCCGTGATCACGATTAATGGAAATTAACCAAAACGTCGGGAGTATGTACATAAGTATTGTAAAATAATAAAATTACGCGTGGTACATCAGAAACATATGTATTAGTTTCATTTAAGTGATTACTCGCAAAAGTATTACATCTCATTCACACGATTTAATCCTGATATATTTATTCACATTTTTTAAATAGACCCGTCACTAAAAACTAACAGTATCAAGACAGTTGAACATATTCCGTATTGATTTTATCTGTATCCTCCACTAAGTCGCCAGTCCACCGTCCGCGCCGTTTAATACAATGTGTGTAGTTGTTATATTATTTATAATGTAATGTATTTAATAAGTATAAAGTAAATCGTGAACAGTCATTAATTTAGTAATATAATCAAAACGGAATTCGGTCTCCAACTAAGTTGAAAACTTAAAAACGAGAAAAGAAGCTTCATCCACGATGAGGAATAACAATAAAGTTGTTTTAATATTCGCTGCGTTTTTGTGAACTTGTTCATTAGTCGTCATTAGTCTCCTTCCTTTCAGTAAAGCAGCTTTGTTTCTAACTTAGAGTGAGTCACAAACAATAGAAGCTCGGGAAATCTATTAATGGAAAAATAAGCAACCCTTAATGACCGATCCCAGTATGGGAGGGCAGTCCTTTAACAAGACGGTTTGGTTTAAAAACTATCGTCTGGCTGTTGTATCGTCTCTTAGCACTGTATATAATATAGGTTTATTTTGAATATATTTTATTTTCAATAATAAATAAATTATATTATGGAACTCGCTACTTACATCATTAGTTTAAATAATTAGTAATAATAAATAATGTGGCTTGTTTTTTGAATCACTATGAAACTTTATTTACGTTCATATAGTAGGCATTTTATTAAAGCAATAGATGAACCTAACAGTCAGGGGCGTTCTTTTAGAGATGATGAATAAGTTTTTAACGTAAAATAATGTGTTTTGTATTATAGTATCAAATAAAAATTTTATTAAGTCTTGAAAAAAAAGAAGACCATTTTATTTTTGGATGATAAGATAATTTGGAATGATTATAATACACAGACAGTAGAACAACGACAGTTTTTTAGTTTTCAAAAATTATCTCTGGGTGGAGTTAGTTCAAGAGATGACTACAAGTGAGCTGAAAGATAAGTAACTAAATAAGCGGTTATATCATATTATTGACTCAAGCTCGGTTCGAAAGTTACATACTGAATAAATAATTGTAATAATAATTTTCATGTATTTTTTGTATACATCTGAATATGTTACCGAAAGCGAAGAAAAACTTAATTAAAAGGTTCGAAAAAATAAACCTAACATCCTAAACATTATGTATTATTTATAAGTATCAAAACTTTCTGTAGACGCCAATGAAGCAAACTTTTCTGTCAAGTGATCGGTTGAAAAATAAAAGATGCGTCGATCGACCGCAAGCTAATATAACAAAAAATCTTGTGTTAAAGAAAGTTCTTTCAGTAATTTTTAAAAGCAAAAATTAGTTATTATAAACTGAGAACAAATATGATGTTTTATAAAAAAAGTATTATTTTTTTGTTTTGTTAACTAATAGATTTTATGACATGCGTTGGCTGCTACAGTTAATTGTAACATATATATATATATAAAGAGTTTTAATGTATAACGAAGGTGGAAATAACGTTACAGAATGTTTTTTCATGTGTTGAGTACAACAGAGGTGTCGGGCGGCGGTAGTCGAGGCGGGCTCTGAAGACGCAATCAAAACCCGCGGCTTGAGACGGGCCCCTTAATAAAATAAATAAAGTGCGCTCCAATA